GAAAATGTAAAACATTGACATGGACGACGGACACCGGACGACGACGGACAATCACTCATATGATAAGCTCCGCTCGACAAAGTCGACAGCGGAGCTAAAAATGTGCAAAAAAATTTAGGCAAGAAATTTTCCTTATCTACAATAACTGCATGATGAATACAAAGTGTTGTATAAACGGACCTTATATAGGATGACAAGTAACGTCATTAGCCAGGAGTGCCGACAATGTGGCTCCAGGTACCATAGGGTGTAATCGACTGGCTGGAAGTCATGTGGTGACTTCTGAGGAGAGGGGCAGTACTTCAACAAATCTACTGTCAACAGCATTAATTGAGTTCCTAACTTGACATTCTTATCCAAAACCTGTGAAGAGAAATAATGCAATCTTTCAACCTCATTGTGAGATATATAGGTTTGGAGTTTTTGTCAATTCGGTTAACGTAAAGTAGTCTCTACTTTACCATGACTTTGAATCAGTCCCAGCTTAGTTCACAGGAGATTTAATTTAAAGTCTCCAAAATAAATAATAAATCAATCCAAATGTTAATTTGAATAAGAAATAATGTTCATATGTTTTGTACATAACTAAAACTAAGCATTCTAGTCAAATTTCTCAAAACTGATGCTGGAAATAAAAACATTAAATATTGCATAATTTCACCCAGAAAAATAAATACAACTAAATTTTGTCAAGAAAACAATGAATACCTTTGGCAGTCCAGTCAGAAGAGCATAATATACAGCTGACTGTCTGAGTTGGTGCGGGGACAGTGAGAAGGCTTTCTCGTATTGGTTATAACCCAACAACACCATAGTATGACGTAGTACTGTATTCTATGATTGAAGACAAAAAAAGATATTAACACAAATACATATCATATGGGATATATAAAAAGATGTTATTTTGAGTTTCTTTTTAAAGCGAATATTCTTGATGTGTTCACCCTAAGATAACACAGAGAACGTACCATGGCTTTGCCGGCAAACCGCTCGTCTTGATTATTTTCAATATCAGTTGTAGTCATAAACTAGTAATAGGAGAAAAATAACTTCAGATTAATAACAAAAATGTTTTACAGAGAATTAATAGGCTCCTTAATTGAAGAATAAAATGTATGATGGGAGAATTATTTCATATATGAAGTTTACAAGAACTTACTTTCATCATGAGAAATATCAAATTATGTATAGTTTCTTTGTCTAATGATGACAGGTCAATTTCAGGAGGTATCTCAAACCAATCATCTTCACCATTCTTCAGATGTCCATCTAAAAGTACAAAACATTAATAATGTAATAATACACATGTAATAATGTCAACTTATTTTCACTCTCCATAAACAGACACACATACAAACAGAAGAGCAGATAGATAGATAGAGAGATAGATGGATAATGGACATATGATGCCAAGACAGACAATGTACCAACAGACAGAATTTAATAAGAAAAAAAATGTCAAAAAAAAAGGAATTCTGTCATAGTTACGTAATGAGATGTCACATGGTAAATATGCTTACCTGAAAACAGATTGTCACCAAGACATGAATGTGGTAAAATTGGCTCAGAGATTTGACGACTGTAGGTACTCTTCTCACCTGGAGAAGGAAAACAAATTAAAAACCAAGACAATGTGGTATGCATCAATGTGATCTTTTGTAGGTGACACTATTTCAGCAAAATCAAACTTTTAATGAAATCTCTCAAATAAATGTAATATATACCAACAAATATCATCAACAATTGTATTTCTTGTTTTGTTCACTTTTTTATGCTGGCAATCGAGATTATCACCTTGAGTCTCAATTCACTAAGTCGTACCTGAACGATGACGGACTCGCATTTTATTAACTGGTACATTAACTGGCATAGATACTGTTCTCCTATAGTCTCCATGTTTAGTAGGACGCAAGTACCTTGCAGTGATGTTTAAACTCAAAGAGCGTACACTCTCTGACCGAGAACGAGCAAATCTGGCACGATTCAGTTTTCGCATAAATGCTTCACTGCGATCCATGAGCCCAGCATTTGACCTGGTCATATCTGCAAATGAAATAATATGGTTGATGGATTTATATGGACTTAACTGTACTTAATATGCATTTTTCAGGGGCAGAGCTTTGTCGAAGAATGTTCTATGATGCTCAAAGGTGCACCACTGTACTATGTATTTCTATGAGCTCAGAGCGAACTGGTGAAAACAGCTAAATTCAAAGAAACAACACAAACTTTGAAGTAATCCTGAACAACCAAATTTATATATGTTGCACAAATAGGAATTATCTTGTAATTACACTGTTCAGAAGAGTCTAAAGAACAAGCCAAAATTACAGTTTCCTGAAAAATTTTTTCACCAGTGATGGTTGTAAATAAAATTGTAAAAAAACAAAAGCATGAACAAATATTTTAATCAATGAAGAGTAAACTGTATTAAGACAAATCTGATTACTAACCAAATATTAAATTAAAGCCACCTACCAACAGGAAATGGGAATTCTTTGTTCTGTTCTAAATCAACCTGTGCTTCCAATGAAATTGTGTCCAATCGGTTCATGAAGAATTCCCAGGATAACGCATTGATGTCGGGGAGATAATGATGCAATATACTTATATGACGTAGTATCATACGGCGGTCATCAATTACAGAATCCCACTGGAATTCTAAACATGACACCAAAACCTGAAATTATATAAATTCACAGATGCTATAAATCATGAAACTAAATTTGTGATTTGCAATCATATCCATGGCTAATCACAACTTTGGCCAATCACATTTACAGCCAATCACATCCATTGCTAATATCTTCCATGTCCAACCAAATTAATAAGGCTAATCACATTCAAGGCCAAACACATTCAAGACCAATCACATTCATGGCCAATCACATTCAAAGCCAATCACATTCATGGCAAATCACATTCATGGCAAATCACATTCATGGCCAATCACATTCATGGCCAATCACATTCATGGCCAATCACATTCATGGCCAATCACATTCATGGCCAATCACATTCATGGCCAATCACATTCAAAGCCAATCTCATTCATGGCCAATCTCATTCATGGCCAATCACATTCAAGGCCAATCACATTCATGGCAAATCACATTCATGGCCAATCACATTCATGGCCAATCACATTCATGGCCAATCACATTCATGACCAATCTCATTCATGGCCAATCACATTCATGGCCAATCACATTCATGGCCAATCACATTCATGGCCAATCACATTCAAAGCCAATCACATTCATGGCCAATCACATTCAAGGCCAATCACATTCATGGCCAATCACATTCATGGCCAATCACATTCATGGCCAATCACATTTATGGCCAATCACATTCATGGCCAATTATAGTCATAGCCAATCACATTCATAGCCAATTACATTCATGGCCATTCACATTTATGACCAATCACATTCATGGCCAATCACATTCATAGCCAATCACATTCATGGCCAATCACATTCATGGCCAATCACATTCATAGCCAATTACATTCATGGCCAATCACATTCATGACCAATTACATTCATGGCCAATCACATTCATGGCCAATCACATTCATAGCCAATTACATTCATGGCCAATCACATTCATGGCCAATCATATCCATGTGAAAACAATAAACGAGAATGTATATAGGCCAGCACAATGTCATTTGTTAACATCAAGGTAACCAGCATGGGTATGTTTGACCAAAAATGTTTCTCAAATATTTGTAATTAACTGAGACACATATACGTATATTAGCAGCAAAAAATGTCATTTTTATACAATCGACTACAACTGTACACATGTGTACACATTGGCTAAATCTAAACAAGTGTGTCTTCCTTTATAACACCTACCTTGAGTGATCTTCTTTTGATACTCTCTATCATGAGTACAGCTTTAGCGGACACAGATGGACAGATGTCATCAACACAGCTGATCAAATAACAGAATGAATGTGCTAATGATGACATGATTGCTGCATTGTTAGATATCATCTTCTTCTCAATAAATCGACACATTACTGTTATACACTCCACTAAAACAAAAGACAAATAATATTCACCAATATTTTTTTTTTTAAATTGACGATGAATACAAAAGAACAATGAACCACATTTCAACAAACTACTAATACATTTAGTCTTTGATTTTGCAGGAAGCAGCGGCAGTTTGAATGCTTCTATTTTGAAAAATGAGTCCAGCAGTGGTTTTGATAGTCACCAATCAATTTTGAAACTTAGACCATGAAAATACCCATCTACTCTCAACAGCAGAGTTTAAGGTCCATATGTGTCTTAGCATTAAAAAATGGAGAGCCGAGAACATACATCTGAAAAAGATGCAGCAAAGATAAATGTCATTTGAAGTAAATTTTAAATTCTTATTACCTGCATTAAACCTGACTTGCCAGTCGTCACTATTGAACTCTGTGTCCACTAACTCCCAGAAGACGTCCATTGAACCTGGGAGCGCCATGCAGTGTAGAATTAACAATACCAATATTTGCACCACGTGGGATAAGTCAGCATGTAAAAACTTCCAAAAACTACAAAGCAAATAAGAACAGAAAGATCTTGTCCAACAACTGCTCCTTAACACTACCCATTTTTTTTAGTTATAACTTTGTATGAATGTACACATGAATGTGAAGATACTGGTAACATCTATATCCCCTGCAACTACTCTGTGCTGAGTGGATAATCAAAGGCTGTGTCATTGTCATAAGTGCAGAAATGCTAAGATCCATAGTGCAAATTTTTAATTTCCTTGTCTCTCCCAACAAAAAATTGGATTTAGATTAAATATGTGTCATTTAAAAATGTAACAAAGTCAAAAATGGTGTAACATTAATATTTATTGACACAAAATTGACATGGAAAATTACAGCAGTAAGGTCACACAAAAAATGAAAGTTAAATAAATTGCAAAGTAAAAGAGAAAGAATGAAAAACAAACCTTGGAAGAAGCAAATTTTCTTGTAACCATATCAAGAAACCGATATGATCCTTGGCAGCATTGTTCAGACACTCTGCGTTCAAACAAAGTACCTTGATACAACTAACTAAATGTAACAAAATATCAGGGTCATCATGCCTTGGTAGTTCCTGTCAAATGAAAGTATATAATGTTAATGAAGACAGTGAGTAACATGGAATATTTAGACTCTATTGAGAAATGTCACAACGCTGACACAGAAATAAATAAATTGATATCAAAACTACATTCCTGAAATTTAAAAAAAAATATTACATATAAAGAAAGTATTAAACAAAGAAACCCATGTGATAACAATAACCTATTATCTAACCTTGGTGTTGACAAAAGGACGGCATAGGTGGTAAAGTTGTATTCATGCCAGGGTAAGGTCAATCATGCCAGGGTAAGGTCAATCATGCACTTTGCATCTGATGCTGGGAGGTTGGATACACTAGAAGCTATGAAATGTACAGAAACATGCAACGTTTAAAACTTCGTTGAGAAAAAAAAAATACTAGCCATACACATAGCTAAAATAATAATTGTAATAAAAAAAACCCAGATCTTTAGCTTACCTTCAGAAATGCATATAACAATTGCAGAGATTTGGGGAACTCACTGATGCGGAAGGTAAATACTCCGTGACTGGTTGGCCACTTATCCTCGGAAGAAGAGCTTTCAGATCCATTGGGAGTCTTACTCTTCTCACTGGGATCAATCACAGGTATGTTGATTTCCACAGATTGACCTTTTTTATGATGTTTATTAGCATCTGCTATTGTGGTTTTAGTTGTAGTACCATTGGTGGCTGCGTTGGTGGTGATCACAGCGGGTATGGTCGTATTAGCAATCGTCAACTGTGGTGTTGATTCTTTCAAAATGGAAGGATGTGGTGGCATGCTGGCGTGCTGCGCTGTCAGTAACATCTTGGTGTGTGCAGAACTGGCAGAATATAATGATGTACCATTTTCTGCAACGGCAGTACACAATGCTTCAGCAGACAGACTTGACAATGTATCTGTCTCCGATAATAGCGGGTATACCTGTCGGCTGACTCCAGTACTGGGAACAGTGAACGTAGGTGAGAATGAGACACCATTACTTGTGGCCATGGTTGAAGTTACCCTTGTCGCCGAGAAACCATTTGCAGACACAAAATTTGGCGCAACAAATTCAGTATCAATATTATTCCCCATATTCAGCAAATCATCGACAGAAGGGGTGGAAACCTTCTCTTTACTTGGCTCAGCATCACTAGACTCATGGCTGGCTTGACTCTTTGATTCATGAATATGCAAAGCTTCGTTGATGGTCTGTTCGAGTTTTTTATCTGTAATCTCCATCAATTCAGAGATCTTGATAGGATCTCTGGGTGCTATGTACGTGATAAGATCCAACGCTAATTGAAACCATAATGCTGTCAATTCACATAGTGTACATTCCAAGTGTTCGTCTTCACTACATTTATGGTTCTCATTCCAACCGACAGACAACATCTGTGTTATCAACGATACCATATCTTTGGATAAGCTATCTTCCAAACCTTGATGAAAGGGGAGATCTTGAAGCTCAGCCTGGATTAGATAAAAATTAATTAAGAATAACTTCTAATTATGGCTCTCATAAAAAAGTGACCAATATTAGAAAGTATTAAACAAGCAGCCTGTCGGCTGAGATAGCTCCGCTGTTAGCAATGCACATTTCAATTAAGAACAGAAGATATCATTAGAAAAATATTCATCAAAATTACGGTAGAGAATTAAAGATATCACCACAAAATGAAAAAATCTGAGAGAGGTCCACATATAGTACCGGTACCTACATATGTAATATCATACTTGCGTTTTTTTACAAGAAGTTGAAAATATCACTTTTTACCAAAAATGACAAAAATATTCACAAAAAATAGAGAATTTGAGATTTTGACATGAAATGAACAAATCTGAGAAAAAAACATCCAAGGTACTTGCATATCAAATTTGGAAACATTCTGAATTGTTGTTTCGAAGAAGAAGTTGAAATTGTGAAGTTGACGACAACGGATGACGACAACGAACAATTAGTAATTTGAACAGGTCCGCTGTGTCGACTTTGTCGATTTTTTATGTATAATTATTAAATTCATTAACCTAATTCAAGACAACTGTCATCAAATTGTAAACAGCAGGTTTCAATGTTTTATGAATAGTATTGTGATAAATAACAGAAGAAATCAACATAGGGATCAGCTCCAATATGCTTGGTGCTACATCTGAGATTTCTATTACGTGTGGCCGCTATCGAAACACTAACATCCAGTACATGCGTGATATGAAAGACCTGCATCCATGAAATGAATGTAGTTATTTGATTGGTTGAATTAATAAGTTGAGTGTCAATCAATAAACTTTTAGCAAACAATACGAGATGTTGGGCGAGTCGGCGGTTTGTATTATTATCCTAATGCACCTCTGTTCAGCCTTCAAATGGATAGATTTGCAGCAGAGCTGAAGATTGCATGAATATTTCTAAGGAGCTTGATGTCTTTTGTCTTGTCAGTTGAAAAGTGAAATACAACTGGTTGTTTCAAAATATAAACATGTGAATAAGTCTTTCAAATGATCAATGAATTTATTAAGTTGTTTATATCGTGTCTGTCTTTTAGGTAAAACAAACTAAATTCTGTTTGTGGGTAGAATATTACATACTGGACTTTAGTGTAGTGATAGCAGTCAAACATAACAGAAAACTCTAGGGTAGTCTGGTGCAGGAAATTTGACAATATACAATAAGACATTAACATGGGATTCTGATACGACAACAAGACAGAACAGTAATGAACACACTGTATAACAGCATTACTAAATTAACCAAATAAATTATTAAATTCTTCTCCCAGTGATGGTAACACCCAATGGTAAAAAAATGGTAGTCCGCTGAAAGTATAGGTTTTTGCTCACATCACCCTTGACTATGATTTTTTAATACAACTTCAAAATCAAGAAAGTTAAACATTCAAGAACTGACCTGTTTCAGGACTAAATCCAACATCATAACAAAACAGGTAACACGTAATTCGTTACCGGTCAGTTTCTTAATTTCTACATGCTTTTTCTTGTTCACATCAGGGGTTGTTGTAGCGGCGGGTTCATTTTCACTGACCGCTTGATCAGATGGTATTAAACCAGTTACGCCTTTATTGAACATGCTGAGTACAAGTTGTAGAGGAATAACAATTTCAAGTTGTGAGAGAATCTGAAATATAGAGAAACAGAAATTTCACAGTATTTAAAAATAATCCAATCTTGGCTAGGTTGAAAGTGAAAAATCATTCGTTAATCAAAAAAATTAGAGACTGCAAGTGACTATCACAAATATTGAATTGCTTGTCTGAGAATGAGAATTTTTCATAAAAATTGTGTACAATTTTTTTGGAAAGATTAAAAATAAATCTTATTTTTTGAAATTTAATTTTAGCACATGAGTTGTGGAATCTTATTTTCAATTTTAGCAACAATTTATTTCCAGACAAAATCTGCCTATCTGAGTGCAACTTCCAACAATAGACTGTCTGATTATGGCATTATTATGATAATTTTGAGATGTTGTTGATGGGTCTAAAATAATGAACAAGCAGCCAGGCGGCTGAGATAGTTCCGCTGTTAGCAATGCACATTTCAATTAAAGAACAGAAGATATCATTAGAAAATGAACAATATGTATAGTATCAAAGCAATGGGACTTGCTGTTTTCAACAAGAATTCAAAAATATTACTTTCCACCAAAAATGACAAAAACAATCATCAAAATTAGATGATTGAAGATATCACCACGAAATTAACAAATCTGAAAGAGGTCCACATGTAGTACCTATATATGTAATATCAAAGCAATTGGACTTGTAGTTATTAAAAAGAAGTCGAAAATATCACTTTTTACCAAAATGACAAAAATATTCACCAATATTAGAGAATTAAAGATACATTCATTACAAAATGAACAAATCTGAGAGAGGGTCATATGTAGTACCTATATATGTAATATAAAAACAATCGGACTTGCGGTTTTTAACAAGAAGTCTAAAATATCACTTTTTACCAAAAATGACAAAAATATTCACCAAAATTAGAGAATTGAAGATATCATCATGAAATGAACAAACCTAAGAGAGGTCTACCCAAAGTACATATACACCAAGTATCAAAGCATTCAGGCTTGTAGTTTTCAAGAAGAAGTCGAAAAAGTAAAACATTGACACGGACGACGATGAACAATCACTCATATGATAAGCTCTGCTCGACAAAGTCGACAGCCGAGCTAAAAAATTAAAAAAAACTGCATAAAAATGTGCTAAATGTTGTACCAAAATGATGGTGCTATAAACTACCATGATTCTTATTGGTCAGCATATTGAACTTATTATTTCATACCCTTCAATTTACACCCCTAATTCAACATGACTATGAATACAAGTACCTGCAACCATGTAAGCCCATGTTCCTGTTCTTCAGATGGACTGTTTTCAAACTTTCTGCTGACAAATGAAAACATTTTCTCGGTAGAGAAAGGTAGTGGACACAGATCAATTGCCAACAGCTTCTGTAATGGGTCTTGAAGTTTCATCAAGTCGTCTTCGGAGACATCATTATATATAGCTTCAACCCAATGTGGCATTATGTAATCCCAGACCTGTATGTTGTATTAGTTAAAAAACATTTCATGTCCAATGCGGCATTATGTAATCCCAGACCTGTATGTTGTATTATGTAAAAAACATGTCATGTGCAATGTGGCATTATGTAATCCCAGACCTGTATGTTGTATTAGTTAAAAAACATGTCATGTCCAATGTGGCATTATGTAATCCCAGACCTGTATGTTGTATTAGTTAAAAAACATGTCATGTCCAATGTGGCATTATGTAATCCCAGACCTGTATGTTGTATTAGTTGAAAAACATGTCATGTCCAATGTGGCATTATGTAATCCCAGACCTGTATGTTGTATTAGTTAAAAAACATGTCATGTCCAATGTGGCATTATGTAATCCCAGACCTGTATGTTGTATTAATTAAAAAACATGTCATCTCATGTCATGTTACCCAATGAACTGTATGTACAGATATAAGTATTATTATACAGGAAAATTTAATGTCAGAGTATTTAGAATAGAATTAATATTTACCACGTATTATAAATGTATGTGTATATATATATATATATAATATTTTATTATCATATTTGTGTATTTGAAATATTTTGATGTGTAACTACCTACTGTCAGTCTTAACATAAGTCATTAAATTCATGTCATGTCAGCAATCTGACTCGACTAGCTTTTAAGCTATTTCAGATTCCATTTTACCTAGACTGCATGTATAATTTTGTGTATTGTATGAAATATTTTCTAGGTAAATAAATTAAATTAATGGGTAAATGAATAATTATGTGATTTAGATTAATATTTTCACCAGCGATGTACAACCATTAAAAATTATTTGTGTACCGGTACTCAAAGTAAGTATCAGTGAGATATTGTAAATACAAGTCATATAACAAATATCGCTATGGTAAAACTACAACTATGTTATATTAGGCAGATGTATTGAACACAACAGATGATTGGTCAGAACGATATCACATGATTGATTCAAGTATCACATGACTGGTTGAAACATCACATGACTGGTTCTAACATCACATGACTGGTTTAAACATCACATGACTGGTTTAAACATCATATGACTGGTTGAAACATCACATGACTGGTTGAAACATCACATATGATGATCACATGAATTAATCACTGCAAGTAAATGATACATTTAACTCTGCAATAATTTTATGCAACGCCTCCTATTTTTACCTGTAAAATAGCTGAGACAAGAAAGGTACTATCGGTATTTAAAGTGACAATATCACACATGGTATGACTCGCAGTATGTTTGCAACAAGACGTATATTACCTCAAAGCTAACAATGTTATATGGTGTCAATGCTAGAATTCTGTTGATGCCTTCCTCCAGTTGACACAGTGTACTTGACAATGTCTCCCTAAAATGGAACAGATAAAGAAATAACTATAATACAACAACACAACATCTTCGATTAGATTCACAGCAGACTTTGACCTAGAAAGAGATGAATGGCCATTGTCTTATGTTCAGTTTATATGATTATTTGTTTATTATTTAGTTGGCCAATTAAGTGAAGTTTGGAGAGGCCATGGTATCCTCAAGGGAATCTAATCATCTTAACTTGAAAGACAGGACACCAATCTCCTGACGAATAAATACAACTATTTATGTCCAGTCATCTTGCGATTATCCGTTACACTTTTGTGATATGTTCTTGTATGTGTATTAGAAGCACACTGGGCCGATAGTTTTATTGTCCACTCTGACTGAATGCAGATGGAGAGCATGATTGTACTCATTATGTGCAGCCAACAACACCCACCAACTCTCTGATGATGGGCAAAAACACTAAACATTGAGCCACACATCATGTCGAGTAAATGCTATAGCTACTTACCAGTGACCCCCAACTTTGGCATATTCAGGTGGATGTGGTAGAAGACACGAAACAAGCACGTCAAAATGACTGTGACTTAATCCAATCAACCAGTTTGCCAGATACTCCGGTTTCAATTGTTCCAAAGCTACCCCGGCATCATCTGAAAACAGATGTAATAAAATTACCGGTAAATTACACACCTACATGCTGTAGAATTAACACAGTTGACAAGTACTTGTATTGTCCAGGTAAACAATTGTGTTATTTCTAGATTCACCAAGACCAAGATCAAAAACTCATAATGCTAATTTTTGGAGTTTAAAAAAATCTAATAGCAAAATCAGTTGTTACAACATTGCAACTGTTTTAGTTGATTTATTCAATATAAAGTTCTGCAAATTTGTTAATCAACTCTTTAGCGGCTAATTTGTTAGTGATGCCTAATTAGCTTCATAGAATTCACTTACCACCGACCTGACATGCTGTTGAAACGAACCACTGGAAGAGCATACTTAACATACGACCAAATACTTCAACCGGTGTATTATCTCCTGGTGTACACTTCTCTACTAACATCCATACACCATATCGACTGAGAATCCTTTGTCCATCACCAGAACCGTCCTGGCTTTCCCACTCCTCGTTATCAATGTGATCACGCAAGTTGGAATGATGTCCAGCCGAATAGTGGTGGGACGAAGACACGCCCATTTCAAACACTCGCTTTTCATCCAGAGGCTGAGCTTCTTTCAATAAACTGTTAATAAAACAATTTCGACTGTTACTATGGTAACCAGTATAAATGTTATCTTAACTTTGGAATGTTCACTTCCCTTGCATCAAATTTTAAAAGCGTAATTTGTCTTGAATAAAACACACTACAAAGAATGGTAGACATAATTTCAATGTTTGCCAAGCATAATTTTCAAAACAATGTGTATTTTGTAGAACACCACCATGAGTGTCAATTCCTGCAGTGAAAGTCATGTGATCACTGTAGAATCAAATATGTGGTTCTCTGTTTACTGCGAGATCTTGGCATATTGCGTGAAAGTCATGGACTGAATATAGCTCAATGTCGAAATGCTAATTTTTCAGAGGGGATAAGATGATGAGATACTCTTTCTTGATCAGAATTGACAATCATCAAATGTGCAATACTTCCGCATTTGTTAAATCCATTATGATGCTGTGACCTTTATATGCCGTTTTTATACATTCAATTTCATACATAACGCAGGATCTTGTCTTGAACCACAAAATGAACTTTTTACATGATTATATTTAGGACACTGAAAATGCACAAAGTGATGAGGAAACCAGTCTAGTCAGAAATGTTCTGTATAACCTCTAGGTGGATACGATAACCTCCCTATGGTACGGACGCTCTCATAGAATACAGGAAGAGGTATCTACTTTACCTGACGATTGCCTCAACCATATAGCTCTGCTCTTCCAAAGGACAGTTCCATGGATCAGGTGGTAAGCCCTGCAGAATGTGACTACTCTCGACTCCATGCTGGTGTTGATGACAATTCTGACAGTATCTGACAGCTTTGTTTCCATGGTAACGTGTACACTCACTGTCGTAGCATGTGACAACAGCGAGCTTATCAAGTGATGTACAATTCTGTTAAAAGAAATGAACGCAATGTCTGAAGTTGTACGACAGGAAATTCTAGAGCTTTGCAGCATATTGCAACATAATGTCAATTTCACCAGCAAAACAATCCTACAGATGATATCCAAAGTCTTTGACATTTTTTTTATATATTATTGGTTATATCAAAATAGTTACTCATTGAAAAATTATATCATTGCCACTTTCTACCTGCCTGCCCAATAATATCAACATTGGAAATTGTTCTTGTTCCTTATCGTTTGAAGACAACAAAGCAACTAACCTTATTTTCACAGACTTTTGATACATGTTCTTGTGGAAGAAGTACATTTTTCAGAATTTTATTTGTTTCCCTGCAAGTCATATGTAAACAACAATGTGACAATACTGCAAATATTTTTACTTTTCAATTTGTCTCCTAGCATAGCACTGACACAGTCATAAATGTGAATTTAAAAGATATACAAAGAAATACTAGTGGTCACGGTCATTCAAGATTATCAAAATACTAATTCTGTATTTAGTTGTTGCGTTTCTTGTTATACAAACATCAATTTGTTTTCACGCTATATTGTAATAAGGTCTCACCTTGCAATAAGGTCACTACACTCGGTGCAAACGTACAATGGCGGTGGAGTCTCACTGTATTGTGCAGATACTGAAGGATCCATGCAAATCTGAGAAAAAAGAAAAAGCATTATGGATTTTTATAACAGTAGTTTTTACATTGTGCAATATATGTACTATTTTGTCACATAAGCCATATTCAATGTTACTATGGGACTGCCATGTGCCATGAATATTTTACTGTTACTATGGGACTGCCATGTGCCATGAATATTTTACTATTCAATGTTACTATGGGACTGCCATGTGCCATGAATATTTTACTGTTACTATGGGACTGCCATGTGCCATGAATATTTTACTGTTACTATGGGACTGCCATGTGCCATGAATATTTTACTGTTACTATGGGACTGCCATGTGCCATGAATATTTTACTATTCAATGTTACTATGGGACTGCCATGTGCCATGAATATTTTACTGTTACTATGGGACTGCCATGTGCCATGAATATTTTACTGTTACTATGGGACTGCCATGTGCCATGAATATTTTACTGTTACTATGGGACTGCCATGTGCCATGAATATTTTACTGTTACTGTAGAAGTCTTACCTTTACAGCTGGTTTATTGCTTGGATTACTGCAGTCGGATCTCTGACAAGATATTGGTTTCCAAGCTGTAAAATAAAATATGAAATAATAACAAGTTTTTCTCATGCTATATTTATTTAGTAGATCATTCATTATGGGAGTGAAATCTGAAAGTGAGGCTGGAAACTGAATCTGACACTGATAATTCAAATCTAAATATGGTTTAACTGTGAACTTACCAACATATTTGTAATCTCTGACTTCAGTCAATGGTGGAATCAAAGATGGCCAGTAATGGAAGAGAAGGTGAACAGCTGGTTTCCTGGCATTCTGTGGCCCATACGCAATAACGCACAATAGATCCTATTCAAGTTGAAGAAAAAAAATTGTCGTAATTGTAGATTCAGTCATTAATATCCATAGATGTCACAACAAATATTCCTGAACCATAGTATTCACACTTTCATACAAAATACCTCAAGACTGTGTTTATCGCTATCTTACTAAACTGACTCGTACAGCAAAGAATTCAAACAATGGCTTTTATTGGAGTAAATTATTAATTTTTATGTATCAAAATAGAAAAAATATTAACAAAAAAAGCACATCTTTTATTGATAGTGCATGAATATTTACCTTGCATACATTTCCAGCATATGTCATCATACTCTCCACTAACTGGGCATGACACGCTGAAATGAAATAAACGATACATATGAAATACTGTTGGGTAAACAAGTAAGAATAGATGATATACAGACATGCATGAGATAAAAAACAATTAATCATAGTTTAGACATGTATATAAAGGGACTTAATAATGACTTTTATTCATGAAAATGTCCAGTTCGTGACATGAAGATGGTTAAATATGAATGCTACCGGTACATTCCATACATACACTGCAGCATGAATGCCCTCTCCTATAAACTGGCTGATACCGGTTCATTCTAGATGTATGCAAAATGACAAACTGGCTGATACCGGTTCATTCTAGATGTATAATACACATACTGCCTCACACCGGTTCATTCTTGATGTATACAAAATGACAAACTGGCTGATACCGGTTCATTCTAGATGTATAATACACATACTGCCTCACACCGGTTCATTCTTGATGTATACAAAATGATAAACTGGCTGATACCGCTTCATTCCGAATGCACATCAAACTACAAACTGATTACCTTTATTGGTCGTTTGCTGTAAAACTAACATAGTGATGGCTGAAGTGGACAATGTGACATAAGATGGTTCATTTCGATCTGTATCGTCTGAAAATGAGTAAAAAGCTACAGAAGCAAACAAATTATAATATTAATTCAGTAAAATGGAAAAAATTTACCAGGTATATTACCGGGTATGATGTTATCACTTGTTTATATTGGCTGGTATTATTCATGAACCAAAGGTTACGCAACAAGTATCAACCAGCTTTATGAATAAGTGATATCAACTCCAATATAAAAAAATATGTTTGTGTTTGTCAAATCCCACAAGGTGCTTTGACACCACTATGACACATGACACTATAACCTATTTTTGCAGTGTTTTTACTATCAATTTCACACATAACACAGGATTCACAGTGGATGGAAAATGGTCAATTGTTGAACATAGAGAAACTATTTAAGCCTTGTCTGTATAAAAAATTCAGATTTGTGGGGATAGCTGTGTTTTATATCTATTTTAAAAAAAATAATTTTAAAGGATAATATTCTGACTAAATTCTTCCACATATTAGTGAGGGAGTGATTTCCAATCAACTAAGAAACCATGGAAACAGACAAATCTAGAGGTCTCAAAATATTATCCTTCAAGAATGCTCTATACAATTTTCTGAACACGTGTTGGTTTGAAGTGGATGTGTATGAGTTTTCTTGTGAGAACACATCGTATTGCCCATGCATTAGGATAGAGAAAATTATTTATTATCAACACATGTGATTCTATGATATTTGCTGAGAATAATTTATCGTAATTGTCATCTAGTACTTACAAAGAGTCATTGGTAGGAACGTCTTACACAACAACTCAACTGTCTCCTTATTTACGGACGCCGGAAAAATCGCTAGCGTGGTCGCCACGGTGTACGGCAACGTTTCCAGGATGTCTGGTTCGAGAAACGCTATGATGCAGGCAAACGTTTGCAAGATAGCTTCACCCAGAGCTGCAAAGGTACACGAAACATTTATGTACTGGTAGTTTACAGATGTACTGAAATGGTTTGTGGAGAAATATTTACAAGACTGGTCACAGCCAATAATCATCAAAAAGATGTAGAACGTAACAGAAAAGTTTGTTCTTATGGATATAATTAATAATCATGGTTGATATTCACATAAAAACGGAACTCCAAATTTGTGAAATCAGTTTTGTTTTCAGCTTCAACATTTACAATTGCAATAAACTGCACATTAGGAATTGCATTTTTTTAAACAACATAAAGCTGAAGCAAAACTGAATGCTTGGAATTAAACTTACCACTTTGCCCATACTGTACAGATGGCATAATATCTATCAAGTTGACAAGAGCGCCGTACAATCCAAAATAGTCAAGATTTGGAAAATGGGAAAGGCGGACATTGATGCGACGTTTACTATTTATTTCAGCCTCGGTTGGTTCAGGTGCACCTTTTAAAATTCTATTATATCGAAATAAGAAAGGTATGGATAACAAATTTTAATACAACATGAACTTTAAATTTGCGATTGATGCAGAAAAACGGGATTGTATGAGGATAAAATAGTATAGCAGGGATCTACATTACTAAAATTTAGATTACCGTATGTTGATGTGCACACAAGTACTTTGGAATGAAATGAACAATAATCTTTGTTTAGGATTACCCATAGATGTTATCAACTGTATATATTTATAAACGTAGATTCAAATTGAAATGATAGGTTGTGGTTCGCTATTGTACTGTGCTCTTTTGTACTGCCTTCTTTGAAAGAGGCTGATCGATGTCATATCGAAAGTATACTCATTTGCACCAGTGACACCAAAATAACAGTTGCTGTGATTGGTCAAAAAGGTTTTCAACTGCTATTTTGAGTTTCTAAATATTATTTAAATATTTATTAATTACAGTTAATTAGTGAGAGACATTTGTTATCAGATATTTGCATACTGGTTGGCATGCCCATTACCCATAAGACTTTGCATGTTTTCTTCAATCATTGGCCAAATCACTGCAATGTGATTGGTCAAGTTGTTTTCAACTGTCATTTGAAATTTATAAAACAATTATGAATATTTTATATTTCAAAAACATTCATGCTTTTATGAAATTCACTGTAACCATGGGTAATCCAGAATGAGTGTATTAATTAACTTTTATCATGAAATGCCAATATTCCATAAATATAGGGTTTTACAAAACACAACACTGTATATCTGCTTTAATATTATAGAAGACAAATTTGCATAGAGTCACTGGGTTACATCAAAGCAACATAATATTTAGTTCTCACAGCGCTATCAGATTATCATTACACAAACAGGAAGCAAAAAAGTTTAACAGTATATAATTAACTGTATTAATCCACCAGGGTCTTGATATTAACCCTTGTAGCACCATTTTCAACTGTTGTCTCCTTCCACAAAATAATACTCTGTATCATATTCTGCCTACTTCAAAATTAACGTTAATTTGCCAAAATTACAGTGAATTTGGGAAATAATTTATGGTGAGAAAAAAAGGCTATAAAAATAGTTAAATGATACAAAGAAGTAAAAAAACAAAAAAAAACATCTAGTGTAGTTGTATATTAATACACTTACCCCCTCAGAGTATTCGTGAAATATTTCAATGTATTTGCAATATCAAAACCAGTTGGTACTGGATTAATATTATGAATTAACCGATTCTGGTAATCATGAAGACTGCGAATCTTCGCTGAAACTATAACAAAAAACACACATATTACTAATATTAGACATTCTATGTGTCATAGAATTTCTCGTACATGTATGGTCTGTGTAACATTGTAAATTGATAGATGTAGTCTTTTTTTTAACTAGTTGGTAGAATGCTTTTAAATTAATTAATTTGAATTAACGTTTATTTAATGTTTATTTTTATACAGTAGACTTATTTATGAATTGTTACGAATTACAATTCTAGAAGATACAAACAGTGAAACTCCATTAAAAATAGAATATTTCTGTTAATAAAAACAACAGCCACAACCATGGGGACTGTCGTGATTTAGCTACATGTGTTTATAAACATTTGCATCGTATATGCGACATATTGTGTTTGTTACGTAACTGTCTTTTTTTTCAAAGAGCCGAATCCCGTGCCTTTCGATCGGGCTATTCGTGTATGCAACGTGGCCTACTTATGTAATGTACTAGTATACCTACAGACCACATAGTTAATTACAGCTGAGGATGAAAATGGTGAAATGGTTTCAATGAAAATACTTACACTGCTCAGATTTAGTCGACATCTTGATTTTCAATTACTGAACCAGTCGACGAAAGGAAAAACGAACGGAATCGTGGCACAAAAGCGATAAATGCAAGTGACAGCCCACTCTCATTCAGTATTGCGTCATTATGACCTTTCGACGATAGGTCTGAACGAGTAAACTCTTCCTCAATTTTATAGATGATGTTTTTTCACTATTTATCTCGCCATCAATCAAAGCCACATCTATGCTCCATTTTGATCTGTTTATATCCTTCCAAATCGCGCCCTCACCGTATTATTTTTGAGGTTCTTTTATTTTTAATTGCTACGGCTCTGATATTGCGCCCTCAACGATTAGTTTTTAAACTTGCTATCATTTTTATTGGAAAACATGGCCGTATGGTGAATGTGGTTTCTCCTGCCCTGCTCTAGGTTTGATGTTCATTTTACTGAGGTTGGTGTGGGTTTATTTATTTGATATCCGTGGGCAGCACATTGAGACCGGCTATTGTTATATGTGTTTCAAGCTGATTGCAAAAACTCAATGGATGACCCGGGACATTGGATGACACGCATCACATGCCCTACCTCCCATGCTTTGTGTCTTACACACTTTGAATTACTTATTTTAAGAACAGGATTGGGTTGGTTTTCTGCAAGTATTGTATTTATATATGCACGACGAAACATTTATATTTATCAACATTATTTTAATTCTTATTGCAGCCATTGTGTACAGTGTGTTTTGTTCTTCACCCCCAACAGTTAAATATTGTCTACAATACTCCGTCCAACACCTTATAAATGGGCACTCTTTAAAACATAAATTCCAAATCAACGTAAAAACATGAAAAGTAATTTATTTTCAAAGTGACTCCAAAAACAACAACATTGTGAAATATTATTTGTTGAATGTCTCTACAGATAATAAACCAGAAAAGAGAAAACTTGAGTTAAATGACAGGATGGAGTTGACGACACTGATGAAACCTGCTAAATCAAAACTTAAAATAGGTAAAGAAAGTTTGGATATAAAAGTTGAAATCATTGATCCAAAAATCAAGCAAGAAATATCAGGTGAGCAATACACAATAGTCTGCATTCACTTTTCCATGTGTGTCCATGCTTATCATTCGAACATCATTCTGACAAATAGGTGACAGTCGCTCATCTTAAAATTCTGACAAGCTATTTTGTTCACCTGAAAAATTTAAAAAAAAGATAGTCACTTGATTGCCTAAGTCAAACATCATCAAATTTTGTGAATGGGAAATTAGGTCCATTTGATCCAAAATCAAAAAGGAAATTATAGAAAAATACATTAAGATGTTGCACTAAAATCTTGATGGGAAAAAATATAGCCCTCAAAGGATTAATATTCTGTTTATTTTTTTGTAGACTTGCCAGCTGTTTCTCCAGTCACTGGAATTCAGAACATTGGTGATGTATTCAATGCTTGCTTATATCCTAATAGTGACGGATTAGCAGACTATATAAAGACATTAAAACAGGTATACACCGTTGATGATTACATGTACCGGAATATTATGGATGCAGGTCTATGACTAGATCATTGTATTCATAACTAACATGTGGAGAAATTTTAAAAGTCAACAAATTATTGAGATTAAAGTTTCCATCAAATATATCATTGACAAGGAGAAAATAACAAGAGAGGGTACCAAAACTAGTTTCCATGGAAACAAAGTCTGTGTAATTTCTCCATACCATTAATAATCTAATTTGGTGGCCATTTAAAATGGCTGAAAAAAAAGCTAAAATGAATACAGATTTATATTAAAATAAAACATGTTTATGTATTCTTTTTTTTTTCTTCAGACTTTCAAATAGAGCATCACAGAAATAAATTCAGCCAAATTACTAGATATTGTTTCGGTTAGCCATGCCCAACAATTCTTGAGGGAAATTTTTAAAAATGTATTCTATGAGGACATGGTAAGGGATAGGAATAACACAATGATCATCTTTATTTAAATACTGTAAAAATAATCTTTTGACGAGTTGGGTATAAAATATGATCCCTTCAGCGAAAATAAATTTATAGATTTATAAATCGATTCAGTTGGGAAAAGTCTATTTTTCAAAAAAAGAAATTCATGATCTTTTTAATTTGTCCATTGTTATAGGTAATTGGTCACTTAAAGAAGTCATGTGATATTGAAGACGACAAAGTCAAACATGAAATAAGAATATATGTGAGAGTATTATCTGAGATTTATGCATCCATCAACAGTGGCTGTACAGTCAAAAGAATCATCAGCAGGTATTATTGATGTACCCATCAAATGTATTAATATGTAGAATATAAAAATGTCTCTTAATTTTATCCCTTTGATTGACAAATCAACTTTTGTAAATTTATTTTATATTTTTTACATAATTTTGATCAAGATTTGTAACCAACAATAAATTATGTCCTTTTGATCCAAAATTATCAAACAAATTATAAAAAAAATACTCACATGTTGGGTTTTGGCGGAAAAAAACTATGGTGATCAAAAGGTTATTAAAGTAATATGAATATTCATATTCAGCTACTGCTGTCAATTGAATATTCATATTCAGCTACTGCTGTCAATTGAATATTCATATTCAGCTACTGCTGTCAATTGAATATTCATATTCAGCTACTGCTGTCAATTGAATATTCATATTCAGCTACTGCTGTCAATTGAATATTCATATTCAGCTACTGCTGTCAATTGAATATTCATATTCAGCTACTGCTGTCAATTGAATATTCATATTCAGCTACTGCTGTCAATTGAATATTCATATTCAGCTACTGCTGTCAATTGAATATTCATATTCAGCTACTGCTGTCAATTGAATATTCATATTCAGCTACTGCTGTCAATTGAATATTCATATTCAGCTACTGCTGTCAATTGAATATTCATATTCAGCTACTGCTGTCAATTGAATAAAAAATACCGGCTGTTCGATGGCAGAAACTGATTTGGTAAAAATGGACTGCACTACAAAGTGGTATACACTGTTCTGACCATGATATGCCATCATTGAATTAATGTATCAGTGCTCATACTAGTGTCTGTTCTCCATATTTGTGATTGTAGAAAAGTCCTTCGCAAACATACTTCACTCTCAATGTGTATTATGTTCACATTTTCAGTGCATTACAGGGCCTACCTGTTGCATTTCACACTGTGGTCATTGACGTATTCACGCTGACTCTCCAGAGATGTATGGATATTGACAATCGACTTGATTTGAGTATATGCCGACATGTGGTAGATTTGATTGGTTCGTATTCACAAAACTGGTCACAAGGTGAAGAAATACTTCGCATTTTGAACTCAGTTGGTAAGTGAATTTGGCTTTGATCATTTCAACATTTAGTAACAATAATCTGAATTCATTTTGTATGTAGTGTGTTATATTTGCTCTGCTAAAGTGTCAGCAATCATGAGAATCATCTTTAATTTGTGATTTAACCGCACCTTGAATTGGTATCTATGTGCTGAGGCTGGGGAGCTACTCGAGCCAACAAGTCACATATTGACATTGCAAGTAGCTGAAATTATTTTTGTTATAATTTGGTTATAATTCCTGTGTAGTTAAACCATCTTAACTGTATCTTTAACATCTATCGTCTTCTTCTAAGTTCCAAAAAGAATGCATTTGCTAACACACTGTGGATTTACAGAAGCATCCAGTGTGTTTATCAAAAACAAATTACAGTTTCTAAGCCTAGGTCACACAGTTAACATCTTGTTACTATGACAATGAGACAATTAGACTACCAAAACTAGTAGAAATTACTAATTTCAATACCCTTAATTGTGAGACAAATGCTACTCTATCGCATCCCAGGGTTCCATTCATTCTATATGCTACACTGTCATCCAAAACTAACACAAGAGGGCGCTCACACAACAAAAATACTAAATGATATGTACCGGTACATTTTCTATATCGATGAAATATAATAAAACTGTTTATTTTTCAGTATTGGTATATTTAACAGATTGTTTGGTAGTATTTATGGATGAGTGCAGGTAAGATATTACTATGCCGTACATCTTGTTCGCAATGTTGCAATGTGACTTGATAGAGAGATAACAGTTTTCATGATCAGTTTATTTCAATGCCCTCTGTAATTTACTCTAGTCATTACTCTCTGAAATTAAATTGAAAATGTTTAAGTTTCTGCTTTTTAACCCAAATAATACAATAATGTACCAGAGAGTTCCTAGATTCCCAATGACAATGTGTAAATTTGATATAAGGTATTTATTCACTTCGCAGTAAGTCTGATAACAACCACATAGTGGAAATGATCCACAACTGTCAGGTTACTATGAAGACCCTGATTGCTGTAATTCCTAAGTATGTTGTCCAGACTGGTACTGTGCTGGAACCATGGTTCATCACTGTAAACACTAAACTTATGCAACACCTAGTGTATATACTGCAAAATGGTAAGTTTTTCTTTGTCTCAGTTTGTTATTTGTCGGATGTAAACTGTAGGAACCTGAGATATTTTACAATGTTTCACTAACTATAAACCACTTATTAAAAAACAAATTTTTGCAATTTTCATGAGTCCAGCTTAATTTTGAAGTTGTGTAGCAGTGAAAGTTTATTACTGTGTGGTCTTTAAAATATGGAGTCATAGCGACTTGCATACAATTGCACCTTTGCACATGTTCTTTTTCATGTAACCTTTGACATTCAGTTGCATACATAAATAAACATGTATTATTATCTGAAGATTTCTAGAGACAGAAATTAGCTAACCAAAAAATATCTGTTCAGAATTTCTGATAGTTATTCATGAGTGTTGTGCTATATTTTTTTTTTTACACATGTAATAGGATTATTCACATCTAATTGTCAAAGTATAGCCGCAATGACTTTAGTATTGGTGTTGAAATCCCTCAGTAATGGCAATTCAACCGTGGACCTGGTAAGCATTTGCCTTCATGTAATACTGGTGGTATTGACAACAACTTTCTACTTTAGATTGAGTTTTTTTCTTTTTGTAATTTTCACTTTCAACAAAATTATAACACAGTGAATAGTTATTTTGAAAAACTAAAATCATTCCATTCAGAATTTTTTTTAACTTTTCTTCGTTTCAGATCTTGCAGTGCTTATTGCCGCACCATATCGAGGAAAGCACAAGTTCCTGGATCACCGATGAAATGCGTAAGACCGGCTACACCTGGACCAGTTTGTCACCTTACTGTCAGCTGTGTGTATGTCACGGTGTCATAGCCATGCTGGACGCTGATCATCTCATTTCACAAATAAACGAACAACAAATACTACTTTTAGATGTTATATTTCCAGAACTAATGACTCTGCAAACCAAGTAAGCACTACGTTTGATTATTCAAAACAATGGAATTATGCTAATCTATTGTAATGAAATTGTGAATCATTCATATGCAAATTAGCCACCATGCTTGTACCCAGAGGTGGGAAATAAAAATGTACATGCAAACACCATGAAATTCTCCTGTCATGTTTCATGAAGTGTATTGAATCTGCATTAAAAAATTAGTGAAATCTGCTAGGAATAATAATTATAATATATAGGAAATGATAGTAGATAATTGTAGTCCTGTGCAATTATTGACATCTGGTTACCAGGATTACCCACTACCATTTCTACATTATGTCTCACAACCTATTAATTGTTGATTTGAATCAATGTGAATCTAGAAAAGTGAAAAAAAAACACAATAATATCTGTTGTATTGCTTTCCATCAGACTCTCTGATAGTTATTCTATCTTGGCCGCATCCAGAACGCTAACACTCTGGTCGTGTGTCGCTAAACAAGCTTTAGAAAAGAACCCAGGTGATCTGAAACTGAGAAGTACACTGTGTGGAGATGGTGCAATTTCAAAAAAACTTTTACATTATGTGTGGGAAAACTCAGAGCATACAATCGAGGTAGGATAATATTTTTTTAAAAGCCTGTGATGATAGGTCGGTGCTCAGTGATGTAATATTTGTTCATAATCTTGCCAACCGATGGGGGCATGTATGTCTAACAAAAATCGGCTTAAATGGATAACGCTGGATGCATACATGTAACAGAAGCAGACATGGTCATTCTTTATCTTGCTGTAGAAATGTTTATTTCTTCAATGTACACGCACAAAACATAAACAAGTGCATACTATACAGTGAAGAGGCATAGAGTGATGACAGATGTTTGTATATTCTTATTAAACAAGAACTTTTATTTTGATGAGAGTAGACTGACTACTGTGATGTATTGGCTATTGCATGTATGCTGTCTAGTATTTCAATGTGTTTTGTATATGTGATGCATATATTGGGTTTTTATTGCAGGGAATGAGATATCAAGTTAAAATTATATTTGATAATATTATTGAAATGCATTTCAAGGTGGATTGTGAAGGTAAGGAGTGGGAATATTTGTACAGCATATGTATACCTGCATATTAGTCTCTGATGTTGTGTTAGAAAATAAACTCTACAAACAATAGTAATTAGGTACTATGTAATTGACTGTTTTTCAACTGGAAGTAATTTTTGTTTTCCATTCATCTGCAATTGCTTGTGTACACTGATATTTACACCAAGGATCTCCTATGCAGATTTCAAAATATTAATTAATAATCTAAAAGAAATTATTAATTTGTCTGTGAATAAGTAGAGCCTGCATGTGACTCTATTTAAAAAATATTGATGTTCAATTTCAATTGTGTGATTGCATATATCTGAATGTGCAACAAAGTTACAGTGATTTTCATGAAGGCATGATAAGCAAGTCCCTTGCAATTCATTCAAATCTAAAGAACGTACTTGCCTTGACAATAGTGCCCATTACCCATGAGCCTTTGTGGGTTTCCTTCCATCATTGGCTGATTTACTGCCAAGCATCCACTGAGGCAATGTGATTGGTCAAGTTGTTTTCAACCATCATTTGCAATTCCTAAAACTTTTATAAATATTTTAATGCCTTTATGAAATTGGCTGTATAGTACTGCGTATACTGTAAATATATCATTGTGGACTGAAGATGTGTGGCCATCTTTTATGACAGAATCTCACATATTTCATATGCACTGTGTTTATAGGCATCATGGTTTCACAGTAAACACAGCTCTGACATATATCTGCTTTTCTCTACAGACAGCAAATTCTTTTATGGCATATTCCAACATTTGATGAATACCAGCTGGCATGTTAGAAGTAAATATAGTTTTCTGGCTACCATGGTAACCTACTTGGGTAGTAACAGGATGTTGGATCTGTGTCCCACATTACCTCGCGACATACTTAATGCTGTGGACGAACAGACTGTCGCTCCTTACGCAAGTATTTTTCCAAATATTTAGCGTCAGCCTCAACTTGAGAAAGTTGTTACTTGTTCAAGTAGATTGTTTATAATCCTTAATCTGTAAACACCAAAGTCAACTTCAAATCAATCTGCATGATTTTTTTCCAAATTCTGTTTGCAATTTTGAATAAAATTCTGACAAGAAAAAATATAAAGCGGTCAAACAGTTAAAATGCAAATTATTTTATCTTTTACAATGAAGCATTAGTCTATGTTGTGCATATTAATTAAGTTAACCATGCCTGACATTAGTCTATGTTGTGCATATTAATTAAGTTAACCATGCCTGACATTAGTCAATGTTGTGCATATTAATTAAGTTAAGCATGCCTGACATTAGTCTATGTTGTGCATATTAATTAAGTTAACCATGCCTGACATTAGTCTATGTTGTGCATATTAATTAAGTTAACCATGCCTGACATTAGTCTATGTTGTGCATATTAATTAAGTTAACCATGTCTGATAAAGACAGGAACATTAATCTCTGAGCAGTGGGTGGAACAAAACTGTTCAAATGTTTATTATTGAACATAATCATTTTATAAAATTGATTCAATCAAGATTAATCAACTGTACATAGATCTTTTTTTCCTCCAGGAATTAAATTGTGGCAAACTGTTTGGCTAGCCAATAATATATTATTCGGGCCACCAACATTTTGGATTGATAGCCACACCACAGTAGATAAAATGTGGGATATCAAATTACTTCAAATTGACTCTTGGTGTCTTTAAAACGTACTGTTATAGTATTTTTTCACTTTCAGTATGCAGATGGTATATTATTAATTAATTTTTTGACTAAAAATGGATAATTACTTCATTGTAGGCCAGTGACCTTTATGAAAGGCTTTTACAAACACACAAGAAAGAATCAGATGAAGATACCAGATGGAAAGCAGTTTGGATATTACCAGTTTTGGAAATGCTGCAAAGGAAAAATTACAATACCACGCTGATTACACAAGTCAGTTTTGTCGTCCTTTATAGTATTACCGAAACCTTGAAATGATTTTGAATTCACAAAACCACCAGACACCTGTTTTAAAGTCTGTGATAAGCAAAGTCAAGAGCACATTGCTTGAAATAATAATTCAAATGAGGTAGTGGGTAGAAATGAGTTGGGTTTGACTTTGCCATGGCTGTCTACTTCTAGTGTGCATTGTGTGCCTCTCTTGGTCTTGTTTGCAAAATCAAAATTTTGCATATATTATATTCTGTAATATAATTGGTCAGAACAATTTTAATTCACATGTGAATAGAACTTGCTCCAAATTGTTTTTTTATTGTGTAACACTGTACATAAACATTAAACTTGCTTACCGTCTATTGGTGTCATTTTACATCAACTTAATTTTCATTTGAATAAATTCTTTTTCAGTATTGTCTTCCTAGAATTTTGAAAAGATGTCCCGAGTGTCTAGAGTACATTCAGATGCATATGAAGCCATCCAATCAAGAGAATCTTGCTGTCTTGATAACTTGTCTGAAAGTAGCTCGTTGTCAAGGACTACTCAACACAAAATGGAATGATGACATCACTTGTTGGCATGGCATCATATCGGTGTCATCCTTACAGCAAGCACTGTGTCACCATGACAACAAGGTAAAATGAATTCATTCACCCCCCCTACTCCATGTTGTTTGGTGGATACGATAATAATGTCATAATTATGTCCGTACGAGACTGTTGCTGATTTGAGCCAATTCTTACTTTTCTGTCCATAATTCAGAATTTCATTTGAAATGATTATTCAACTACCGGTATGCAGGATAAGAGAAGCGAACAGTGTGTGACTTCAATTTGATTATTTTTTTTTTTTACCTTCCCAGTTGTCTTTACAAGCTTTGAGTTTAATATGTGACAACACCAAAACAACCGAATCCATCACAAGTACGGACTTCCAACTGATCAAGACATTTCTAGAAGTAAATATGAAGGCACAGTCCCCGGCTGATAGACATTATATTATATCTGATATTAAAAAGGTAAAGTGAATTTTCTATTTTGTAATAAAAACAATGATTATTTGTAAACTCTATGCTTTACCCTGTAAACAAACTTTATGTGAAAATAACAATTAAATGGGAATTGTATTCCTATCCACTAAAAAACCTCCTTGATACTTGTATTGTAAATAATGTAATGTCTTTTTGTTAATCTATTATTTTTAATTTGTTTCCAAAAATCCAAGCATCTTATGTGTGCAACTTAAAATTGTACATTTTACAAGGTCACTATTTAAACAATAAAATAGTTCTATTAACGTAACACATTGGCAACAGGTATAAAACTGGTACTACACAAATATTCAAAAATTTCAGTATTGATGATTAATTGACTGAAGTTTATCATCTCTAACTTTGCTTTATTTGTATTTGTCTTGTTGTAATGTCTTTCGCTATTTTGGACTTTACCTTACTTTTGTTTGTGTACATTCCAAATAAAATATATCATATCTATCAATAAGTAATAATATCTTTCATTTAATTTAGTTTCTTTGTAGAATCCATGAAAGTGGATTGATGCTATGGAAACAGAGGAACAAAGATGGCTGCCAATCACAGTTAGAGTTGTATAAGGTAAGGGTTGAGTTTAAAAACATGCACAAATTTGTTGCTGTCTGCCTTTCATATGTAATCCACTGCAACCTCTTGAGTTAAAGGTTTAAAACATACAATAATGCATACTGTTGACTGTTTCAGCTATATCTGAATTTCCAAATTTTTCCTTTAGGATTTCTTGGAATGGTTGTTCAGTTTCTTACTGAATAACTTGTATCCTGATGCTTGTCACCCGAGGAGAGCTCTAGCACTAAGTGTTTTGAATCTAATGAATGATATATTTAGTCATTCATCCCAAGGTAATGAATGCACTGTTGCTATAGTTACTCTCTCACAAAAACTCAACTTTGTAGATTATGCAAAATAAACTGTTCAGGCTTCTTTATTTTTTTTACTTAATGTTGTTCAAGAAAAAAATTACTGTTATATAATATAAATACATTAATTAATTGCTGGTTTTTAATTTTGTCAAGTACAATTCTCTAAATTAAATAAACATGTAAAATAACAATAGAACTCATTGTTTCAAAATAGTGAAATTATATGCCAGTGAAAATAAATGATTTAACAGTATACTGTATCTGCAACTTAAACAAAACACATAAGTTACACTTTTTACTTTTCATTTTTTTATGGCTTTTATTTGAGGTTGTCAACTAGTTGTACTCGGCAATCAAAACATTTTTTTGTATATTGTAATAATTAAGACATTCATAAAATTTCATTTCTCACCACTGTTGTTAGAGAATTCCTGGTAAATCAATGTATCACTGTTAATATTTTTCAGGGGGTAGTTTGAATGGCGTACAATTCGGTTTCATTGATCAACTGACGACTAATCATGTTCAAACCATCCTGGAGTGTTTGAACGATAGTTACAGTAAAAATAGAGAGATGGCCTTACAACTCATCAAGTGTTCACCTACAACAGCACAGAAGGTACAGCAATCTCCTCTGATCAGGTGACACTTTTCAAGTCAGGTGACACTGTATAAGCTGTGTGATTGGTTAAACCATATAACTTTGTTGTTGAGGTTGTAATGGATTCTGGAAAAGGTGTGATGACTACATCAAGGCAAAATAAATTTACAACATAGTACTTAGAGGGTAATTCTGTATTATGATTAAGACCTCGGGAGTTATTTAATGTTTGGTTTCAGTAGAGTCAGATATTATTAATTAATGATCAATAATTTGTTGCTAATTGTCTATTTAACCAATAGGTATCCAACCTGTATGAAATGGGGCTAGACTTGGCGAAAGGTAACAAGCCACAGAACAGCATTGTGGGAGCTAACATATTATGCCTGGTGTACCAGTGTGGTATTGAAAGCCCTGAGCAGATACTCCAAGATTTACTGGTATACCTGAGAGAACAAATAGAGATAGGTAAATGTAGTCTGTTGAAGGCTGCAGCAAAATACCCTATCTATGGCTTACTGTACTGTGTGCGGACACTATTGAAAGAACTCTCATCAAGTCATACGAGGTAACTACAATTAAACCCTTTATTATAAACGCAAGCATATGTTATATGAACGTATTTTCATTAATAATCAATAATATGGGACTAGCATAAGTGTAGAGAGGTCATTTCATTGTTGGATAGTGTAGGAAATACTACATAATTATTTCATGACTGAAAGCTAGCATCATGTTTCTATTAGTCATTTAAATAAAGTAGTTTCAGACTTGTGGCCTGATTATCATTTTTAATTTTTTTAGATGTGGGTTTTTTGTTTTTTTTGTAGCAAAATTTAAATTTGACGCTCAAACATGATAAAAATATCTTATTATTATTATTAAAACTTCTAGATTTGTGTTATTACATTATTACACTTGCATACTTTGCCCTCAACATTGCCCTCAGTAACTACAGTAAATTTAAATGAAGGTTAGCCTACACAGCTGACATGATGTTTTTTTTTTTTTTTTTTTTTTTCAGAATAATAGATAATTATTTAGATTGTTTAATAGAACTCTGTTTAGACGCATCCAGCATTGTGTCCCCAGTTGTTTGTAATTCATCACCAGAAGGTTACTTACCAGTAGATGAACAGAAAGGTAAGTCTGATATATTTATAATAAAACACATCCATGTTATTGTGTAAGGTGTTATATTCACTAGGTTTATTTTTAGATTTTAATGATGCAGGAATATTCACTAGGTTTATTTTTAGATTTTAATGATGCAGGAATATTCACTAGGTTTATTTTTAGATTTTAATGATGCAGGAATATTCACTAGGTTTATTTTTAGATTTTAATGATGCAGGAATATTCACTAGGTTTATTTTTAGATTTTAATGATGCAGGAATATTCACTAGGTTTGAAATTCAATGGTTTATGACACAATACATGTTATTGTTATCGTGCATGTTCACATGCATTATAGGTATCAGCAAAATTAAGAGAAAAAATAAAAACCATGTGAGTGCATGGCCAGTTTGCAGATGTGAAGTTATGCTTTTTTTGTGTGAAAGATTTCATTCAAATATGTTTTTGTGAAGTCTGTAATTATTGAGACCACTACAGAAAATTTACTTGTAATCACTTATGGATTCAATTCTACTTCTCTTAGATGCCAGTTTAGAACATTTGGTTTTGAGAGGTAATGATAAAGAGCAAAATGAAGATGGAGATGATAAGACATCTCGGAATGAGGAGGAGGATGACAAGGAGGAAGAAGGTGACAGTCACACAGTAACACCACAGATGGTTCTCATATGCTGCTGGATAACAATGAAAGAAGTGTCATTATTACTGGGCCAGTTGACGCAATTTAAGAATTCTAACAAGAAAACACTGCTCTCTGTTCAACAGGTAAATTTATTGAGTAACCTTTGTAGAAGCTTTACAGTACAAATGATTACCGTGACTAGACTAAATACAGTGATTTGACTGCACTATTATTTCCTGTGTGTTCTGGAACACCTCAAAGACAGTTTTGAAGGATTGAATTTTAGTCATTGTAAGCTGATAGTTTGACATTTTTATTTCAGATGAAGACACTTGGTGATTTTTTCATGGATATTCTAATGAAAGCCAGACACAGAGGTGCATTTGAATTGTCATACACCGGATTTGAACAGCTTTGTCATCTACTTTGGAGGTACATAATCACTCCACATTAAATTTGAACTCCTCCTTTGAAAATCATTTACAGGCAACAACTTTCATTCTGTGGACATTTCAAAACACATTTCAGAAATACTAACTTAGAACAAGAAATACCAGTAGCATAATGTTTTGAGTTTATTTGGTAATTTTTTGTATTTCAGGAGTGAAGTGAAGGAGCTGAACAGTCTGCCAGTGAAATGGTTGCAGATATTACTGACTGAAATCCAATGTACCAATGAGATATCACAGTTATGTGCAACACGGCGTAGTGCTGGGATACCCTTCGCATTTCAGGTGACATTTCTTTTTCAATTTCTGAAATTTATACAGCATATCTCACAATGGTCTAAGTATATACTCAAGTATCCCTGTCAGTGAATATTAAATGAATTGTTACATAATTTGAAGTCGAATATAAAATGTGGACTAAATCAAGTAGATTACACAGGAAGTTCAGGTATGATGCATTATGGGAGTGCCATTAACAAAATAGTGGTAACTTGAGAGGTTAATGTAATTTTGCATTAATTTTATATTTTCAAGAGTTCAATAACAAAGACATACAAAATAAACTTATTGCAGTGCTTTCTTCATCTTTAACGAAAACAACTTTGATTTATTTGTTTGAAGGCAATTTTAAATGCTGAATGTATGGTACAGAAAGACAGACCTAATTTTAAACATGTTATGATTCAACTTTTGGATTTATCACTGGGACAAAGCGTGAATGACGACACATTTGCACAGGTACAGTATATAAATATTTATATTTAGCAAAATGTGTCTTGTTGAATATTATTTGATGTATTAGTAGTTAATAATTATATTTTGTATTAATGTACCGGTATTATTTATTTATTTCAAGACACTAGTCACTAGTGTATGCAGACGGTTTGGCATACACATTCAATAATAATAATAATAATTAATAGCAATATTGCAAAGTTAATAACAATTAATATTTTTATCTGTATACAGGTTCATTCCTTGAATATATTATGTGCATTATACAAAGACAGTGAACTTGGTGAAGATGTATTTCCATTCATTGCTGATGGAGTTAAGGCAGCCATATTGGGATTTAACTCAGAACTGTGGGGTGTAAGTATATTACATATTATTGATTTTTTTCATATTGGAATAAAATACAGGATTGTCAGCAAATACTTTATACTTTATGTAAAATAAATACAGATTTGACCTAATTTATGATCATTATTACTTAGAATCTCATTATTTTCAAAAATTGATTCACCGGTATTAATGATTTAACATTTATTCTTGGTAGGTCAGAAACTCATCTATGATGTTATTTAATGCTTTGATAACAAGGATATTTGGTGTCAAGAGAACTAAAGATGAACATTCTAAGAAAAACCAGTAAGTAGTAGTTTGAGATTAGTCGTCTCTGGGTAAAAAAGCTTGGCATGCTATGATATTTTCATAGATGGTGCATATTAAATTAGCTCATTTGCATGCTGATTTTATGCACTGAAAAACACAATGCATTTGGTGTCAGAAGTGGAATGCATATTAACATTTTTTTTTATAACTTGCATACACAGGTTGAGTGGAAGGGAATTTTTCAGTAGATTTCCCTCATTACATTCATTCCTTCTGAAGCAAATCAAAATTGTTTCACAAGATACAACCAGGTGAGTTTATTCATCTCATTTAATAATAATAATCTACTTATTTGCATTATTTTGTTTTGTTTTCGTAATTGGATGGATCATCATCATCATCTAAGTACTCAAGCAAAACATTTATTTTCCAATTTAATAACATTCATGGTAACAAAATTTCACTCGTGAAATTTAATCAGTTTACCGTAAATTCACACATTTCTCTGTTCCATTCTACAGTTTACAACAAAGTCAGTTTGCTATTCTGTTACTCATGTCACGTTTATATTCGTCAACGTTTGACGGCATTGACAGTAATCTCTCGCTCAGTGAGTTTGTACCTTATATACAGAAGTAAGTAGAATAGTAGGTAGTTTCCAAGAATTCTACCAATCATATCACCATATGATTACATATTTATTTTATTTTCCAATCCGAATATTTTTTAGCTCTTTTGTTACCCTTGTCGAGTGGAGCTAATCATATTACTGATTGTCTGTTGGCGTCTGCATCAACTTTTTATTTTTTCGACTTCTTCTTTAAAACAGCAAATCTGATTGTTTTGATACTTAGTGTATATGTACCTTAGGTAGACCTCTCTTCGATTTGTACATTTTGTGATGATATCTTCAATTTTGATGAATATTTTTGTCATTTTTTGTAAAAAATTATATTTTCGACTTCTTGTTGAAAATCAAAGGCCTGATTGTTTTGATATTTTTTTATATAGGTACCTCAGGTCAACCTCTCAGATTTGTTCATTTTAGTGATTGAAATGTGCATTGCTAACAGCGGAGCCATTGCAACTTAGAGGCTGCTTGTGTTATGAACTGTGTTCAGAATCTCATACTTTTTTTACTCTGCCACTTCTAGATGCTGCAGCTGTAGTGTATGGAAAACACGCACCATGGCTGCAAGAACGTTAGCTTCCATCTGTCCTACAAGTGCCATCAATGCACTGTTGACAAGTCTCATTGTATCACTACCAACATCTGACTGTCTCCAACTATCCCATAATACTATCCATGGTGTCTTATTGCAGGTGGGTGTAGCCCAGTGATTTGCATAATTTAGTTATTATTGCAATGTTTCAAAGGGGATTGATTAGCTTACTTTGAAACCCGTTTACATATTTACTGTATGAAATGAAAACATGTTGATATTATGATATTTTCACTCTAGATATTTAATATTTTTACTGACATAGTTATTACAAGTTCACTGTATTCCATTCTCTTCTAGATATATCATGTATTGGAGATGTATTGGAGTGAACGTTTACCAAACAATTCCCTGGTAGAATTGATGAATGTAGTGTTACCTCAACTTAGAAACAGTCTATGGCTTATAACTAGGTATGTGATGGTGGATTTCATAAATGTGTACTACTTTGTGGCTCTGTATTGCTTTAACATTTTCACCACCAGACCCAAATTTGTCTGTACTTTTTTTCTTATATTCCTCAATATTTCTGAAAAATGAATCCTAATTTTGAAGCCAACTGACAAAATTTTAATCAAATTTAAGTTTTCAAATTTGGCTATCTTCTCAAGGAAATTGCAGACTATAAACAGAACTATTTTGTGAATTTGTGATGAAAAGATGAGACTGGTGGTGAAAAGTTGAACCATTTAAATGACAGATTGCTCCCTTCAAAATGTAACATTTTATAAATTTGTATGTATGTTATGTTTGAACCAAAATTTCCCAGTCGCTATACCTGTCTTGATTAACATATGGGAAAAATGTCCAGATTTATTTTTGTGTCTAGAAGGTTAAACCAGTCATGGTGACTATTCCAAAGCCAAGAATTAGAAACACTTGCTTGTGAACATTTGAAAAAATATTAATGTTTGCAAGAGGAACAAATAAAATAAGGATTCAGGGGAAATTTGATAGACATTTTGGAGGTTGAGGTTTTTACACATGCTGGGAATAAGTATGTATTTACCTTTTTTTTTCACAGTTCTAACAAGTGTGATATAACAAGAGCTTTATATCTCCACATACTTAACAAATACATTTTCACAATGCAAAAGATCCCAGTCGATGATAACCATAAAGATTTCCAACTCCATGTCACGTCTATTTTACGAGAAGACACATTTTGCGTTCCCAGTAGCAGTATGGTTCCGGGAACTTCACTGTTGCAGGAGACAATCGCAGAAATCACTTGGAAGACCTCGGTAGAAAGCAGTAGTATTGATTGGTTGTTGGCGTTATTAAATAATGCATCATATGAAGTCAGACGTCTCACTCTTAGAAACCTCATAGACTGTATTAAAACTAGTTGCGATAACGCCATTAAACTGTGTGACTCTCGGGATCTATTCAGGCAGTTGATAAAGATGGTACAACATGAAATTGATTATGACTGTTTATCAATGGTGAGTCATTATTTTATCAAAATATACATACTTGTACATGTAATGTACAAATCTTGATAAAAACATAATTGTTGGTGGGATATTGTTGCTCTACGATGTAGGTGTTTGCGCAATTCTCTGTAACATAGTTGCCCCTATCTTCATGTATCTGAGCCCATTCTGAGCCAACCAATCAGATTGCTTTACTAAAACAAACACAAATATATTGTGCATGTGTATACTATAACACAGACTGTAATTGGTTGTTGTTTTAAAACAATTGACAACCATACAAATTTGACAGCATATATTATTGATGACATTGGATTTTGTAATATTGCATACTTAAAGTAATGCTTTTGTACATAATGCATAGTATTTCATGTAGTATTATATGTACCAAAACACATCAATATTAGAGAATTTTATTGATTAATCGACTGAATACCCAGTTGAGTATTTGATTTCATGATAAACCATAATGTAATGTATTCATCAATAGTGTTATTACAAATTACACATTTTCGTCATCATTATGAATTTCATTATGTCTAGTTCAACAACATTAATTCCTTACTTATATAAAATACTTGCAGGTATTTGAAGTGTTATGTTATCATTCATACACACTATCAGACTCCACTGAATGGTCTTCAATGCTGGTAACAGATTCTTGTACACTGGGGAAAGGAGTGAATCAATGTCCAAAACAAGAAATGAAACTCTCTCAATCGCTGCACGCACTCACATTTTTGCTCAAGAGTGTAGAGTCATTTACAGATGGGCCTGGGTATGTAGATATTTTTTCTTCTTATTATCGTAATCGTAAGCAGTATTGAAATTGAAAAAAGATGTGAAGCATATATCTTAATGTCATACTTTCACTAATTCTAAAATTGTTTTCATTGACTTGCAGATATGAGATGGTGCCTAGTTCGTTTATTAATTTGACGTCCAAACTGGTTTCAGTTGTTTACTCTGATGCTGTATTGGTTAGTGAAC